AACGTTATAATACTTGCACAGGAACCTGAGAAATAGATGCACTCCAAACAAATATCCGCCCACTCATGGTCTACCGAGTGAAGTAAAAGCAATTCACAACACGAAATCATTAAAACCAGCCATTAAAGTTAAGAGAAAAGAGCAATTTCGAAAGTTCGTGTTCTTTTGACATCTCCTTGATCACCATCGATCATCGATCATGAATTAGAAGGCCCGCTCAGTACATAATTTTCAACACAATGTGTTCCCTTGTGATGGAGCGTGCATCTGTTTCAGACGATTAGCTTAACTATAAGGGCGGTCTTAACTTAAACAATTACCGCCTCTTTACTGCATATGTTATAGCACGGTAAAGCTAACAACAAACAAACGTACCTTATGAATAGAGCTTTTCCGTTTCCCGAGAACTGAACTCCTCGCAACAAACAAGGTATGCCACGTCGTCTATACGGAAGCTAAACAGGGAATGAGAGAACCCGGTTTGGCTCTTTAGAAAAGGTAACGGCGATTCTTTAAATTAAGAGTGGCTTCTCATTGAAGCTTCTGCTGTTTTTCTCACAAGATATCCAGCGGAAGTACAGATTATGTTCTAGGAAACGAAAGAATAATTACGGTGAACCCTGGCAACCCTAAAATGACGTTCAACCGTTCAATTACGTAAATCAGTCGACATGGGTTTCTAGGAAAAATTCGATAATACCACTTGAGGTCGAAGGTTCTAGATGATTGGGTTTCGGTAGCCAACACTTGTCCTTGGCAAAACGCCCAGAACTCTTAACCATCTCAACTTTCAAGAACTTCGATTGGGGATTCAATAATTCATTTTGCATAAACAATCAGGGTAAGTCTGCATACTCTTAACCTTTCTGTTCACTCTTGCTTGTCAGTGTTTGTTTGTTTGTTTGTTTTGTTTTGTTTTGTTTTGTTTTTTTCACGAGACTTGTCGCGTTTGATCATATTATGATGCTAGTCTATAATGATTTGTTTGGGCGTAAGATTAGATGGGTGCGTTTTCAAACTTTGTTAGGGGTAAATTCCAAGGCAAATGTCAAGATAACAGAAAAAAATTTATCTAAATAT